CACACACACACACACACACACACACACGCACACACACACAATGACACTTGAATTGACATATAGGCTTTGATCATTTTGTTCTCTCGAGAAAAATTGAAGTCAAAAGAGGCAAAGGCACACCAAGGATAGCTTACTTAGGGAATTTTACCAGATTGGTGACAGGAAAAGGCAAGGTGTTTTGAGAGCATCCCAGCAAAGAAAAGAGAGGTGAACTACAACCACCCATGTCTGTGTCAGATCTAGCACAGGAAGGAAATGAAGACATTTGAAGTACCGGTACACTGAAAGTTGGAGTGAACTAGCCATGTTTGAGATTTAATCAATTATTTTTTCAAAGTTTATTCCTGAACTGGTGGAAGGTCCCCCCCCAAAAAAAGTAAATGAAACCTGATAAGATACCTTTGCGGTGCTGCAGAGTGACTAAAATGAATTGACAGAGGCAGACAGTGTTTTTGTGACTCTTCTAAAGAATGCTTTTCCACGTGTTGGCAGCTCAGTGGATTGAATTTTTATTATCTTAAGTTTACAAAGTATGAAATAGTGCAAATGAAACTAGATAACCTCCCAGGACATTTTAGTTTTAGTAAGAGTTTTATAACACTTGCAACACGATGTGGTCATATGCGTGCGGAAGATTAGAGGTGTTACTGAAGCGTAACCTACAATCAAAAGAAGGAGGAGAGATAAGGACAACAGATGTCTGATAGAAAAGAAGGAGCAAACCACACCAGAGCACCTGCCAGTCACCTGCCCTCAGGCCGCCGCGGGTTGTGCTAAGACTTGTATAAAAAACAGAGTGTGAAATCGGAGTCACAACTTACCCAGCTGGCATGTTTTGACATTGTCACTGGTGTCGATCTGAGGCCAGCTCGGCACTTCCCCACCCAGTGAGTGGACGAGAGCACACAGGTAAAAGCCGTTGTTCCAGTCAGTCTGTGCAACAAATGAACACACTCAAATTTAAGTCAAAATGTGAAAAAAAAAGTTTATAAACTTTCTGGCATTCTAGAAAGTTGTAATGTAACAAAATCTATCAGTACTTATTGTTACCTTATCAAAGACAGCTAATTAATATTTCACCTAAAAATAAAGAGGAGACTGGCAACAAGTGATGATAAGATAAGATAAGAAGATAAGATAAGATAAGATGAGACAAGACAAATTAAGATACGATAAGATAAGATAAGACAAGAGAAGATAAAACTTCATTGATCTCCAAAAAGAGAAACTTGCAGCAGCATATTAAACGCACTTGTGTGCATGTGCACACACACACCCACATACACATGCACATACACACACACAAACACATACACACACACACACACACACAATTTCATAGGATAGATATACAAATGATGTTATGTATCGCACACCGGATAATGACTGAATAGCTTAACTTCATGACGATATGAATTCAAAATTTAATAAAATAAACTCTGAAAATAGAGAAACACGTTTTTCCGAGGTAAAACACACAACAAACACATACAAATGGATGCAGCCCAAATGATAATTGGAAAATGTTTGAAAAGTAAAGTTATACTCCTTTAATAGTTTCTTTGGCTCAAATCCAAACATCAGACATGCCTATTCAATGCCAAAATATATTAATAAAAAAAAGACTTAAACCAATCGTTTCCATTTTCTATTTATAAGAAGCAAAAAATAAAGCTCCCAAAAATATGTTTTGTTGTTTCAACAATTAAAAAACTAGGGTGATTTACACCTTAGCGGGTTTAAACTTATTTGAACAAATTTTTCATGAAAACAAAAACACAACCATGTCAGAAACAGAGCAGCCAAGTGAAAATCTGATTTAAACCAAGGATAAGCCCAAAAAATGAACTGAAAACATGGATGAAACATAGCATAAAATTCCACAATTTATAAATTTATAATAAGTTATCATTTTTGTGAGGAGCGAATCAGAATGAATTACCGAGAGATTGCTGATGTTGGTAGTTTTGAGTTGTTTACAAGCCCAGTTGAGCATGCAGAAGTATCCAGGGGAGTTTTTGCGTATAAAATATGAAAGGTAAGTCATGGCAGACAACTCATCCAACTCAGAACTGGCAAAGTCCTCAGCGCTTATAACCCTTGGCACACCTAAATGGTCTTTGGCAAGCTGCATAGCGTTCTTGCAGTTTTGTACTCTGAAAATTGCGACAAATCAGTGAAAATCAAATCTGATTCAGTGCAATCATGTAACTAAAGCAATACGTAACAGGACAAAAAATAAGATAAGATATTTAACATAAATCTTGGAAGATGTAAAATCGTTACCGCGAGATGATCATTGAATGAAAAGTATGGTTCATTAACTACATTTAAAAATTCAAAATAACATTAAACTGAGGAATTACATCCTCAGAAACATTTTGTCAACTGTAAGGAATCATTCACAGAGCTTAGAGATCAATACTAAACACATGCATAAATAAGAAACCAGTGCATTTTATCTGCAGTTAAGGACTTCTATATTTCCACCACAATATATGAATTATGTTATTGTCTATAAACCTGAATACATATTATCAATTTAAAAAAAAAATCTAAAACTTGAGTTTATGGCAGGAGCTTGTAAGCTTATAAATAGCTATCTGAAACAAAAGTAGTGATGGGGGGACAGCTTTGCCAAGAAGGGACTACAGAGGTAAAAGAAATTCTTATTAATGTCAAAGTTCAATGACCACATAATTATAGTCAGGCAGAGATAACACAAACACGGAAACTCAAAATCACACATTAGCTCCAACAATTTGCCCTTCCATGACTGATATCTCTTTAATTTTTCGATAACAGTTAACCCAAATCATGGAAGGGACAAAGACATTCCGGACATGTTTGAGTTATCCTGATCTGACTGTATATATCTTCTCAGTAAGTATTCATATCGTGAGGGTCTTAATTACTACCTGTCTTTTGGGCTGATTGCCCTCCATTTTGGGGCAAGACCTGGTTTACAGTATTCACAAAGAGCACTGGGAAAAAAAAGAAAAAAATCATTATCAAATTAATTTCCTTCATTTTAATGTTTATGTTTGAGTTACAGAAAAAACATGAACATTGATATGATAATAACAAAAGAGACAGACAGAAATGACTGACAAAAAAAAAAAGATTGGTAGAGATATTTTAAAATACATGCTGATGTTTTTAAAGTGGTGGTGGTGGCGGAGGTAGTATTGGATTTAAAAAGTTGTTCTTTTTATATGAGACATATGAAAAAGGAATAAGTAATTGTCAACAGATATGACAGGGTTAATCTGTATTGTAAAGTATTACATGAAAAAGATCTTTCCTCTGTGCTTGTTTTGCCCTAGGTTATGATGCCGATGATCCTAGTTCAAATCCCCAAAATGGGTGTTCTTGAACTTGGTTTGTTTTGAGAGCTTTTAAGGCACCTCAGTTTTATTTAAAAAAGGGCATTTGTATCTGAGGGTCCTTCTCTTAAATAATCTAGAATTAGTGTTGAAAACGGCATTAAACTCAAACGATCACCAATTTTTTACAGAGTGCTATGTTCATAGGCCAAAAACAAATCATAAAAAAAAGTAGGCACTATGGTGAAGAGCCTAACCACTACACCACAGAAAAAGCACTAATTCA